TGTAAAAACTTTTCTGTTTATTTGGGTATCGAAATAAAATTTTAGAGTATAAGAGTTTTTATAGTGTTTACTCTCAACACACTTTCAAATTTTATAAAAAAGTTATTGAAGAGTGGGACTACACTTTTTGAAAAATTTGTAGTATTTCTCTCAACTCACTCTCAAATTTTATAAGAAAGATATTTAAGAGTGAGACTACATTTTTAAAAAATTGGAAAATTGTTGCTCATATAAATATTTCAAAATGTTTAAAGACGTCCGAAACGGTTACCCAATTAATGTGAAATTGCATAAATGTAATGGGTTTTTGCAATTCGTCTGAGCCGATTTATGAAATGTTAACAACTGTAGTACTCGTATAATGGCTACCAACTAGTTTTTTTATCAAACATTTGGTGATAAGTGCCGCACAACTTCATCAATTAATATTAGAGCCGAGTGGGTTGCCAATCAAAAGTGCATTCAGGCAATTAACTGATTTAGGCAGCGACTCAGACGCTATGGAATTCCGTCAGGCATTAAGCATTATTGATTTTTGCTGCAGCAAATAAAAAACAACAATAATTTATGTTAATAAAATTGTAATAGTTGTCTGTCAACAATATGCGAGCACGCGAAATTGGCGCCAATGCGACATGATTGCCCCTACTGGGATGAGAACGGGCTGAGGCGGAACATTTCAAATCAAATCAATTAGATCGTATCGAATGCTATATAGTAATGCAAAAATGCCGCTGTCTTTTGTCTCTGAACATTTATTTATTGTTGTTGATGGCAGAGAACAACACTCGTCATGAGTGCTCGCTTTTATGTATGCAAATTTTTGCCGCCTTTGCCACCCAGCTGGGTGATCGATTATGCTGGAAGTGAGTTGCAGCAGCCGCTAATCATAATAATTGATTTGTAAATATTTTCTTTCCATTGCAATTGCAATTGCAACACTAATTATAAATCACACAAGGTAGGCTTGAATTTACAGTCTCTGTGCACACATTCATTTCTATCTAGCAGCAAAATTTCTAGCAAAAAAATTCCAATTCAAAGAATTAGCGCCATGCCCTGTATAGTTTGCATTGCGGCTCCCATTTTGTATCCAATTGCTGTGGTCGTCTGGTACAAGATCATTCAACCCACCTTAGCTTGGTTAGCGCCTCCGGAGGAGAGACCGCAGCACCAGAGCCGTCGACCCCACTATAGTCAGCGCCGATCGGCACCAGTCAGATGCCATAATAATCGCTGTCCCTTCTGTGTTGGATGCGTGCGCCATTAAAGGCAGTATAATCTACATATTTCGGATACTTCTTAATAAATATTAATTTTGGGTCGTACGTCTTTCCTTATTTTATAGCACATTCTTCACTTTGAACATGAAAATACCCGCTCTGTGGAATATATTTCTACAACTTTCAGAACTTAACGAATTTTTATTTTCTTCTTCTCTGAAGACAACACTCCAGAAATACTCCGGTAGAAAATTGCACTTAAAGCCCTATTTTCAAAAACTTTTTTTTTTAAATTTTAGGCTAGAAATAAATGAACATATTTTTTTAGAATGGAAGATACTTTCTAAAAAGTAGAAAACTCTTTTTCTTAAAACTGTGTTGCTAATAATTCTTTTTATAACATTAATGAAATATATGTTTTCTGAATACAGTTTCGGTCTTTCATTTCCAATAAATAAAATCAGTGTTGCCAACCAGTGTTTTTTCCCGTCCCCTGTTTGTTTTTGAAATGAGATTGCGGGAAAATATTCGAAATTGCGGGAAGCGGGAATTCTGGCTTTTAAAAATACATTTAGCTTTTTTCCGCTTTTTGTAATTTTCGTTCTCCTTTCCGTCAAAAACAGATTTTTTCCTTCTAAATAGTTGGAAACACTGAAACCCACAAACATTAAACCGAAACATCGATGCTTATATTTTAAATATGGAGCACATAAAATTCCCAACTAGTTAATCCCACTTTTGCGCCACAGCTTATATCTAAAGTAGAAGCGCGTCGACGTTATAAGTTCGCATTATTACTTTTTTCGTTGTTTTTAAATTAGATATTATTATTTAAATTATGTATATTAATCTTGTTTTAATTATTAAGCAAACTTTTTGTTTGCTATTTGTTTATTATTTGCAAACCCTGCAAAACGGTGTTTCTATGTTTTTTTTTCTGATTCATTTTAGATAGCTTTTTAAGGTATTTTTTTTTACACCTTTTTTGCAAATATAATATAGCCCATGTTCACCGTCGATAGTGTAGCTTCCCAACAGTGAAAGAATCCATTAAATCGGTCCAGTAGATTCGGAGCCTTTTCAATTCAAACAAACAATCAAATCTTTACTCTTTATAATTATAATTAGTATAGATATAAAGGTAACCATGCCTTGAAATTTCGAAACATAGTTTCTTAGATTAGAAAAAAATCGTTAACGAAGAAATGAATTTATAAATGAATTTCTAAATAAAATGCGAAATATTTATTAAAATCATTTCTTTAGAGAGGAATACATTTTCCTAAAATAATAAGTTTAAAATACCTTTCTCTTAATATGAAGGTATTTTTTCATAAATGGTATCAGATTAGAAGAACTGTTTAAAAAAAATGTCATTCTTAGATGAAGGTAATTTTCTTTAGTAAAGAAATGCTAAAGATTGTTTAATAATAACAAGAATATTTCTTAACGTTTCGTAAAATATACAAGTGTTTTCTTAGTTCTGAGGTAATTATAACTGAAAAGCATAAATAAACGTTTTAAATAAGTACAAGTAAATGACCAATTTTGTTGACAAAAAATACGAATGTTTCTTAATTTTCTAAGCTTTGTTTTCGTTGAAGAAACAATATTCTAAGTAGTATTACATTGGATAGCAAGTATTTGTATTTATTTGCTTCAATGTCTCGACAAGTTCAGGCTACAAAATTTTTAATATATGTTTTACGTAAGTCACCGAAATATTTCCCACGTAATGTCAGTTTTAGAAATGGATGTTGAAGATGCTTACAGCCAAATGCGACGCCTCTTGGACTCCCATAGGTATGCCTTTATATTTGAAACAAATTAGCAATTATGTAATCGTATTTTAGGCTCAATTGGCAGTCCAAGAAGCGTCGCAATCGACGTCGTAAGCTGCTGAGACGTCAGCGGTATTTGCGCCAAGCTCGGCGATTTGCTGGCGGCCAAGAAAAGTGGAGACGTGCTCCTGGCAAGAGTAATGCCGTTCGTCGAACCTTCTGGCATGCCGCCTGTTGTGTGATGCCTTTCCAGCGATTTTTCCGCATATTCAAGCGCCACAAACTGAGTCGCACCCAAGCCCTGCCACTCGAGATGGTGCGGCAGCCGACCACGGCCAACGCCGAAGAGCCCCTTCAGATGCCCGACGATGAGTGGGAGCGAAGGCGCTCACATCTGCAGGAGCGTCCGCTGCTCGAGAATGTGCGGCACATAATTCGGATGCATTGGACTGGATTTGTGGAACGTATATCGCCGACCTTCTCCTCCGTGGGCAACAACACGCAGCGCGCCGTCGAGGAGTCCACACAGCGGTCGAGGGTCTTCAATTGTTTGCTCAATGGCTGGCTAAACGTTTCAAATAGATTTGTTTATGTTTTTACTTCCATTTATAGATTTCCCAAAAAACCGATGAGGCCCTTGTTACTATCAGTCCGAATTATGTAGAAACTACGCCCACGTTGTACGTCCTCGACCTCACTCGGCCTTCTACAAGGACTGAATAATACACTCGTTGACTATATGCTCAACAATACTCAGATAAGATCTAGCCTGGCCAGCAGTGGAAGCTGTTATCCCGGTGTTTCCACATGTAGAACCAAAAGATTTGTACTACCAAAACCTACAGACCTAAGAGCCACCGAGGCTTGACATCACAAAACTTAACATACTTACCTAAATAACGAACGAACGCAAACATTATTATGTTCTTTAAAATATTTAAAACTTAGCTTTTAATTGTTTATCCACTAAATCAATTGCAATAAACCCAACAACATACCAATAATTCGAGGCATATTGTCCGTCAAATTTAATTCTATATAGAAAAGTTTCCAAGTAATTGTAAGTCTGACCTTACATGCGAAAAAGTTAGATTAAAGGTCTTATTTGCAAACTTGGAAAATAGCTAAATTATTTCAAAAACTAAAAAGGAGCGAGTTTTTTTCTGTGGTAGGCTATACTTACCGGCCATTATCCGATCAGTTGTCACACAGCCAGACCTAGCTACAAGTAGATCCTATCAAAACGATTAAAAAGCCAGTAGCATTTTCTTTCTTACTGTCCAACATAGCTTTCCCGATTGATCTCACAGACATAGCAAGGCTGGAAAGTTCCCAAATATTATTTTGGTGAGAGGATGGAAACTTTGAACTTTCAAAATTCCAATGAATAAAGGTTTAAAATGATTCGAGTAGAACAATGAATTATGAGCTTTAGTATGATCATTGATATCTGACAGGTATACATTGAAAACTATGACCATAGACTAACAACTTGGGCTTAAATTATAATAAGACTTGGGCTTTAATTTTTATAAAACTTACACTATAATATGATCAGCTATATGCTATGTAGAGGTCTTATATCTGGGTCTTCTATCAGACCAAGTATTAATAAGAATAAATGCGTGCATCATATATAGATCAATATTACGATATATATGATATACTGATCCAACAAATAAATTGTAAACTAAGGTATTGAAGTCAGTGCCGTTTTGTGGATGTTAAGCCTTTATAATCAGAGCCGTAGAAACCAGAGCAGTATAAGTACATACTGAGTCTTTTTTGAAACGAATATAATATCTTCTAAAAACTGTATTATTTATTTTTTGAAGTGAAACTTCTTACTTCAGGGTTTTGTCTGCTCGAACGACAACCTTTTCTGTGACACAAGTGGCGACGATCTGGCGATCCTTTTCGATTTTTTTTCGATTTCCCCCAAAAATAAAATCGTTTAACTCGTAAAGCTGAAAAAAAATAATTTTCGTTTTCAATAAGACATTATCAGCGACAATTTCAAGTAATAGTTTGTAAATTTTGGTGTGCATTTGACTTTATGCGATTAATCGACTCTCTAAAAACAAATCGATGTTTAACATTTTTGTGAACATCGATTACATCGATTTCGAACCACGAAGTTTCACTTCAATCGCATGTCTCCCTGACACACAAATTTTTTGTTGTATACTTGTATATATGTTTATTATTATTTATTGTGTTGCATTACAGAGATTAAAGATTAAATAAAATTAGTTTTGAAATAGGTCCCTTCTAGCCTTCAAGGGCGTGGCAGCCACCTCAACCTAACCTAAACTTAATTTCCGAATCAATTATTGTCGCTGCGAACTTTTCTTAAGGAATAGTTTCAAACGCCTTCCAAACAGTAGATCCATCCATAATTGCTCCGAATTGGCACTACCAGCCTCACAATTTGATAGTTTATGCAGACATAAAACAGGGCGTGGTCAATGGCCAATGATCAGCTTAACTATTTACTGGAACAGACGCCTCAAGGCGTTCCACTGTCCATAAACTGGCCATAAAATTGTGAAAACACACAAGCATTTGATTGATAATATTGCCACTAACTAGCCCAACAGGTTGCCAATAGCCGGCCAGTTACAAAGTTGCGCCTTTGCCTTGTCAATGGCATCGAAGCAAACACTTCTCTTCATGGCCAATGTCCCGGCCAGACAGCGAGCGACTCGGAGCTGCCTTTTTATACTCTGTACATGAAATGTATAAGAGTATATTTATATTAGGCTTGCGCGAGCTGAAAAATGTAACGGGCAGAAGGAGGCGTGGCAGACCCCACAAAGTATACATATATATGTATATTCTTGATCAGCGAGACAAGACGTGTCGATCTAGCCCTGTCTGTCTATCCGTCTGTCTGTCCGTATGAACACCTAGATCTCAGAGACTATAAAAGCTAGAGACACCAAATTTTGCACAAAGATGGCTTACGTGTGTACGCTGTGCAAGTTTGTTTTATTTTTTTGATTTTCCCCCCACTTTTCCCCTATGGGGGGTTTCCCGATTTTCCAGTCGTAAAATCGCCTATATCTCGGAGACTATAAGACCTAGGAACACAAAATTTTAGTCCCAGGCGCCTTATGTGAATACGCAGAAAATGTGTATTTTGGAACCACACACATACACGCATAATTATTCTACACATATGTATAGAGTATTTCATAGTCGGGACACCCGACTTTAGTTTCCCTAGTTGTTTTAAGTAATATTTACGAGCTGGTTCATATTTGTGCAGCTTTGAGGCGCCAATGCGACAAAGGCCATTAAATTGGTGTTCTATGATCGAGCAGTTTATGTTTTATTTTATGGTCTTAGTATTATTTATGGAGCCCATCCAAACACTGACTGACCCATATTCCAGTTGTACAGAGTAGTAGCCAATGGCCTAGGCATTTATATATTCGTGTGATTCACAGCAGCTGGCGCCTTTTGAGAAGCCATTAATGTCAGTAGCATTCGAGCCCAGAACTTATGCGCAACAGACATGCGCGAACGTCTCAGAACGAGCGCCTCACGACTGCATTCCATGCCGATCTTTATGGCTGGCGATTTTTCTCCATATGACGACAGCTATATTAATAACATTTAATTTGCCAAAATATTTATGCTTTTCGCTTTGATTTGGTATTTGATTTGGCTGCCACTTGGCTGCCATTTGGCATGCCACGCCCAAGAGGTCTCCTTAATTATGAACGCTAATTTATGAGACTTATATATCAAAGAAATCTGTCACACATTTTATAACACCATTTTCGATTTTTCTGTTCTGCCACGCTACGCCCTCAACATTTTAATTTGGCAGCCATCGATGGCAATTTAATAAATTCTCCCTCTATTCTCTTTGTTGGCAAATTGATGGGGAGCGTTACTTGATTTTACGATGAGAAACTGTTGAGCAATTTAGTGGAATTCTTTCAGATGAATAACACACTTGTAATTTAACGAATGACACCTTGAATACCTATGGAACCTTGACTTGTCACAGTTAGAGCAGTGGCTGGGATGGTCTTAATATTAAAAGGAGGATATCCAATAAATTAAGATTATACAGATTTGTTATAGTCTTGCATGCATCAGAATGTCAACCTATGATGGATTGTTGATTGATTGATTACATTTTCTTTAAAATATCATCCAAACGTTATCCTCCAAACCCACACCCCTTTGATAAAGACTCTAGCCTTCCAATGTTAGTCTTCACATGTTAAAGATACTATGAAATTTTGTTTTCTACTCTTTAAGAATTCGGTAATTGTATCCTAAATACCAGAAAGCACGCACCTATTTGTTTAAAAATATGTTCCTTCTTCGACTAATTTCATTTATGTTGATGTGGACAAGGCCGTATGCAGCTTTTACCAAAAGGGGGGGCCGAATTAAATTTAAAAATTAAAATGTTGATTATATAATGCACGATGTATTTAAAAATATTTCAAAAAAATATTTATGATCAATGAAAACACTTCAACAAATCCAGCTCAGTTCCATTTTAAGGCGAAATAGTGCGTCATAATAATAATAATATAATAATGAAAGTGGGCAAAATTTTATATATTTTTTATATATTTTGAAGAAATACTTTTAGATAATAATTTTTTTTAATATTTTTTTATTTCAAAAACTCATATAATTCATTTATAAAATTTCCATTTCGCTATTTTTGAGGCCGCTTTAATTCCTCAAATACTATATGTGTATTCATAATCCATAAAAACATATTCTTTTCCAGATAAAATATTTGATTTTAAAAACTTTGTATTTCTAATTGTTAAACAGTTTATGATAATAATTCTAGAATAAATCATATTATAAAATTTCCATTTCGCTATTTTTGAGGCCGCTTTAATTCCTCAAATACTATATGTGTATTCATAATCCATAAAAACATATTCTTTTCCAGATAAAATATTTGATTTTAAAAACTTGTATTTCTAATTGTTAAACAGTTCATGATAATAATTCTAGAATAAATCATTACTGTTCTTAGAGCTCTCTTTCTGAATGAACCTTTACAATCTTCGACTATCTCGTACTTTCTATCTCATTTCATTTTCCCACTCAACCAAAGTCGGAGCCGCCTAAGCCTTCAATTGTTGGCAGAAACTTCAGCTAAGAAGCTGAGAGTTCAAGCCGTCGATGGGCCTTCAATTAGTCTTGTATGCCACCTGTCTCGCATCTTGTTCGAGTTTAATGTGAGCAATTTTTATTGTTAGACGAAATCGATAGGCGGCGCGCCTATTAACCAAATCAGTTAACAACAATTTATGGCATTTCGCTGCAATAACAATTAATAAAATTAAAAGGAGAATCGTTAGAGAGCTGTAGGTAGGCAACCATATCTAGCAAGATCTGGAATTTGTAGTTTCTTGTAGCTTGGTGTCTTGGTGGCCAAGCGCCGGCTGTAAAATGTTGGAAAGCCATTCCTAACCCGTTAATACAAACATCCTATGGCGGAGAGGCGAGACTCTGCTCTAATCCTTTGAAGATCTCGTTGTGCGATAACATAGAGGCTGGCTAGTGATTAGTAAGGCCTAATGTGACAGCCAAGCGACGTTCCAGACTCCACTACCACTCTGCCACTTGCCACGGCACTTTAACTGTAGTTTGAGTGATGTAATTGGAGCGTTTCATAAGCGACTGCCATTGTTAACTACTTTCCTGGTTGGCCGGCGCGGACGCATGTTGGCAGCATAAATCAAGTGCCAGCAGCCCAAGTCGTTAGAAG